CCTGCCATGGCAGGGGGGCGGACTAGATGATCTGCCCAGGTCCCTTCCGACCCTAGAAACTATGAAACTTTATCTCAGTCTCTAAGTGCTACTATGATGCTAGGACCCCTGCCAGACATACAGGTAAAGGTATGATGGAATTTGATATGAGATCCACACAGTTGGACTTCCTGCCCGTGCCACATGATTATGGGATTTGGGATCAGATCCCATCATGTCTTATTGCCAGTGCAGGGGAATCTTGAGATCATGATGCTGGGCTTCCTCTGCACTAGGAAGTAGCAGGCTACCACATGTGGAAACCCTTTCAGCTGATCTGGACTCCCAGCTGTAGGGATGCACCTAGCCACACATTCAATTAATGGCATGATAGTATCCAGCCACAAAATTATTACACATTTTGGGGGGGGAATAACTTGGCTTATTCATTACTTCATGATGCCATTAGTTGCTTTAACCATGGCTGGGTCATAGCCTGTGATCTGGTTAACTGATTAATCATGTTTTAAGTGTAATATGTGGCAGGGGCCTAGTATACCTACCATTAATATTGTTCTGTTGTAGGCCATTTTTCCAAAATTTGGTTTTAGTTGGAAGTATTTGTCTCTAAGGGTGTCTATACAAAGAGCTGCTCTAATTAAAACGCCAGTATCATGTGTATTAAGCCCCCACACATTTAAAAGTGGCCATGGTATGCTTTAACTAAAGCTCATTCAGTGAACTTTAGTTAAAGCACCCCAGCAGCCATTTTTAAACCTGCAGGGGCTTATACACATGATGCTACAGCAATGCTAGAGCGTTGTAATTAGTCTAATCAAGTCTGCTTCAATGCATTATAATTCAAACACACCAGAGCACATGTATATGTAGCCTTAATGTTTAGATTAATGCTGCTTTAACGATTTTCATTTCAGTATATGATGATTCTCATACATGTAGAGGAGAAACTGAATCTCAGAAATAGATAGTTTTGTCAAAGAATCAGTATTTTTGCTTCTGGGTAAATAAAATGTATGTTCTAACATGTTTTAATGCATTAAAATTATCTTCCTTTTTGTCTTTAATGATACATTTATATTATCATACTGTTCTATTGAAAGATGCAATGTTTGTTGTCAGATTTTTCAGACATTCCATATCCTGATTGGTGTGGACAGACCATCCATAATCATTTAGATGTGGTTTCTCATTCCTCAAAGTTTTCTGGGATTTCAGGCTGTAGTGATGCCGTATCCCATGGTTCAGCTAGTAGCACCAAGAGTACAGATCTTGTACTAGGTAAGCTGGAATACCATTTTAGTATGTGAAAAGTACTTAATCTGTAACATTTTCTCTTATATTTAGATATTGTATTGCAAAAAAAGACATTCTATTTTTCATTCACCATAATAAAGCAGTGTAATACCTTTTAAAATATTTTAAGATGCTTCTGTCAACTAGCAAAGAGCTGATGGGGTCAAAGATAAGAGCGCCAAATTAGAAGCTATAGATACATCTTCCAGTCTGCTATGTAGTCATTGCAGCCTTTTGGAACTCAGTTAACCTTTCTTTGCCTTAGTTTAAATCAATATACCCCTCCCATTTTTCTAGTGTTGCTATCTTAAACTGTTGGTAATTCATATGAATCTTGAACATTTTATCCCGTACTTTGGATTTTTGGAGTAGAACAGGAACCATATTTAGACACTTTGATAAATGCTTCTATTCCTTTAAAAATAAAATACTATGGAAGATATATGTAATTTATATTGAATCAGCTGGTGGTGGCTAAGATTTTGAATTAAGATGATTACTTGACAAATAAAGTAGATCCTTGCCAGCCTTGACAGTTTGTAATTCATGCACAATGACAGACTTATCTTTCAGTTGAACTGGGAGTTTTTGGTAGCAATGTGATACAACTCAACACCACAATTGAGATTTCCAGCACTAAAACTGAAATTCTACAAGATATATTACGCAGCATTTCTGAACTTCTCATCTACTTTTTTCACAATAAGCTGGTGTTGTGTTTAAGTGAATGAAAAATTATGTAGAGCTCCTTGATCTTTGCATTTTTAACAAGATTGATGGAAATTCATCAAATGCAGTAATTTTTTAGAGTTAGCAGACAGTATTCCCATTTAGCCCAATGAAAGTATGCCCTGTGTCAATTTCATACAATGAATTCTATTTTCTGAAGGGGTCAAATCTATCCCAGATGATACACCGGTGTGCCGTATACTGTTGCGGAAAGAAGTCTTACGTTTAGTAATCAATTTGAGCAGTTCTGTAGGAACAAAAGGCCATGAGACTGGGCTCCTGACGTAAGTAAAATGTGTCTCTTTGTATTACAATGTTTACCGACGTTCAGTATACATATGTTGTAAAATTCTTATAATTTGTATTCATATCTTTCTGCTGGCTTCAAACTGCATTAAAACAGTTTACACCATTGATCTTTAGCAAAGGATTGCAGTAATAACTGCAAAAATAAGGACTGCATTAGGCATTGTTGAACAGTTTTGTCAGAGCTCTCTCCCATCCCATGGGTGAGGATCCAGGATGGATAAGACATGTTTATACTTTGGCAGCAATGTGCCACAACAGGGATGTTCTTGAGGACCCCCTGCTCTCCAGCTTCTGCATGCACTCCTTAAACTCAGAAATGTGCCTGTGACCATCAGGGTCAAGCATGCACAGACGTGCATGCTTTCATCTCTAGCTCTTCTAAAAATCTGCCTGTTAAGATTTATGGTTAAACCTTACCACATTGATTCATAGCTGTTTGTTCAATTGTTTCATAATAATGCACTGACCATTAAGAGTTGTTTTCATTAAATATTTTCTGTATGTACTGTACTGTGGTTTTGGTCCATACATTCAAAACTTGCCAGTTCAAGATACTGTATGAGAAATATAGATATTTCTTGAAGACTGTGGTCATCTTAAATATTTTATTTAGCATAGTATGAGCCAGGGATGACCACACTTCCAACCCTTCTAGCTGTGAACCAATATCTTGAAATGACTGAGAACCACACAATATGCAGCCCTTGAGATGTGCATGCCCCAGAATTTGTGACTTGGGTGCATTGCTCCAGCTCAAATAATTTATCATTAAGTGACTTTGTAAAATAAATAATAAGCAAAAACTGAAGAAAATCAAAACGTAATAAATTAAAAGATACGTGTGTGCGCACTTGTCTGTGTATTGTTGAACTTCGTTCTTCAGCAACTGCCAGCAACTCCATGAAGCTTGTGAGTCAGTTTGAGAATCCCTGGCATAAATAAATTAACCACTTTATGAATCAATAGCTAGTTTTTTTTTCTTCATATCTAATCTCTGTTGAACAAGATCAAAACCATGTACTTACTTAAACCATGTAAGCTCTTATATTTTAATTGGAGTTTATCAGTACATTGGGAAAATTCTTCTGGTTGCTCAATATTATGATAGAAGCTTTAGGCTTTCATAGTGCAGCTGGTGAAAACTTACGCCATGTTTTGGCAAGATGGCTGCTAGCAGGCAGCTTTGAAATGCCCATTTTAGTTATTATTTTTAAAAACTTGATGAATGTTAAGTCCTCAGCATATTCATTTTCTTGTTGCTGAATGGCAGACAAATAGTGTACGTTTCTTTTAACCACGCTTGATATCGTCAGTTAGGTCAATATTTTGTTCTGTTCTTTGACTTATTTTTAAAAACAGAACCTACCCTCAGAACTTGAATAGTGTCTTCACATTTGATATTATTTATATATTCATATGAAAATTCATTTAGACTATATTTCCTTTAGTTGGATACAAAATAATAGCTAGTATGTCAAATTGCTTGTTGTGCCTAAAGAGTAAAATAATAATTAGCTTTGCGGGTCATTTGAATTGCGTACTCCTCCTCTTCATATCTTGTTGATTGTTTCGGATCATTGAATTCATAAGCCTCAACTTCTCCAGTTAGAGTTAAATGTCATTAACTATATTGAGCAGCATGTAATTGAACAGTTCTTAAAATATAATCAAATTTGAAGTGAGATCATATTTAAAATGCCTTTTTTTTCCTGTTGATCAGCATTAAGGAGAAATACCCCCAAGCATTTGATGATATATGCCTTTACTCAGAGGTGTCCTACTTGCTAGCACACTGCACATTTCGCTTACCATCTCGAAGATTCATACAGGAATTATTTCAAGATGTACAGTTTTTACAGGTAAGTGGAGGTTTGTTTTAGATGTAATGACATCACTAATGCAAGTTCCATGGTTAAACTGAGCAGTGCTTTTGTGCTTATTTTATAGGCTACAGAATTTAACACAGAAACATGTAACATATATTATGCATCCTCTTTTCCCCTAGATGCATGAAGAAGCAGAGGCTGTTCTAGCAACACCATCAAAACAACCAATAATTGATACATCAGCTGAATCCTGACCTCAGTTTTGTTTGTTGTGCAGTGTATGAACTTGTTAAAAGCCTCAGATGACTTCTGATTGACTGTAGAGCAGAGATTAGGAGAATCATCTTCTAGACTGTTCCAGAAGTCACTGATACATGAAGAGTGAACTAAAGATATTTTTTCTCAACAAATCACTGCCCCTTTCCTCTGAGCCCTTTGGGGAATCGATAACATTACCATAGTTTTAATAATAGTAATTACCAATATATGCAAGAGCCAAGCACTGAACACCTGCCACAGATTTTCATTTTCTTTTTTAACATGACATTTAAACATAGGACAGTCTGCAGAAACATCTTTTACATGGTTGACTTGGAATTCTGTTCCAGGTAAGCAGATTGGTGCCTTGCATTTTAACCCTTGGACACCAGACATCAGGGTACACAAAACTCCTTTCCATTTTCTACAATGGAAGCATGCTATTACCATGGAAACCAGGGGATTAATATTGGCCCGTCTGTGTTAGTTTTCTTAATGTTTGTAACACTACTTGGGGGATTTATAATCTCAGACAGAAAGGAAAGCCTCTATGAATCTGGGGTTTTCTTATAAGTTATTTTAATGTCACTATAGTTGCAAGAGTTCTTATTTTATTAGCAGTCTCTCCAGTTTTGTTGCATTTACTTATATGATGTTATCTGAATGAGGTAAGGATTTTCACTACAGTTTGATTTGAAAATGAGAAATTCTTTAGGTGTAAATCAACTAAAATCTGATTGTTTTCCCTGACCATTATGCATGTATTCTTTGGAGTTTCTACACTCATGTTCATGTAGAATTAATGTTGGTCTTATTCCTAAATGATAATCTCTAACAAGTATGATTTGTGTCAGATGGGGTGAATACTGTATCCAGTAACTTGAAAACATTTGATCATTGCTGCTTTTGAGGGAAGACTTAGTAAATAGGCAGTTTCCATTTTCCATGGCAGCAGGGTTTTTTTCTAAAATGAAGATTTGCTTGAATTTTCAGTGTGTGACTGGTCAGTCAATAGGTAATGCTAATAATTGTAGTGAAAAGCCTTAAATACCAAACTTTCAAGCAGCAGTACTTTAATTTTCTATTGATATTCTTTAGATCTTTTGCACAACTTTTGTGATACAGTGACTGTTAATATGTACAGTAATTGCCTTCACCCTGTTACTAGTGAGGTTGCTAACTTTGAGCGCAAGATGAAAAAAGAAAAACCCCAATCTTCTGATGCATCTAGAGACTTGAAGCCTTTTTAGCAATTAAATACAAATATATGCAAATTTGTATATATCGTAGCATCGCCACCTTTATTGGAAAGCATGTAATGGAAAGCGTTACCCTTTGATCTTCAGAAGGGTGAGCCATTCAGCAGAACAGTACTAGGTAGAAAACCGTTTTTATCCATTTTGAAATCATGCCAGATTACTGCTTTAGGTGTGAGGAAATTTAATCTAATGGCATTGCCCCGTCTTAACTTATTATCTATGCTATTGAAAATTTCAACAGGTAGCACTCTGAACTAGTAACAGCAAAAGACAGTTCCTGGTGAAATGTAGAATTCAGTTGATCTTATTGGAAATTCATCACGTGGGTGAAACATTTTCATCTTGCTTTGTAGAATTGGCTTCACTGTGTCATGGTGTGCACTTCATACCAACATGTTACAGTACAGTAGTTACAGCGCTATCAACTGCAGTTCAGAGTCAGATGTAGTTCTGTGAGCTTTTCACATGTTCCCACTGAAGGAAAAGCAGAAAAAAATAACTTTGTTGCCATTAGTGACACAACTAACAACGTGTATACAAGACAATTTGAAAACACCTTGAAAATATCACCTACTAATAACTGTTTGGATTGCTTTGGTCTTAAGAAATAAACATTTCTGCAAAACCAAAATGTCAACCACAGTAGACCAAATAGTGGTATAAACTCCAAAGGAAATAATATAGTATTCCCACCAAAAATGGGATTAGCATATCTTATACAGTAGTTTAAAACACTACCTCAGTTAGGATAGAGTATAAGATATTTGAGTTAACTCTAGATGGGGTTACATCAAATAACTCCATGTTTATTTTTCTGCAGTTAAGGCAAAATAGATGATTTTTATCACCTGTATTTAAAAAAAAAAAATCTGTATTTGTCACCAGTTTTATCTATAGCACTTAATGTAAAATGTTAGAAAGGCCTCTTTTTCCCTAAACAAAAAGGAAGCAAACGAAGATTACAATGTACTTTTTAAAACGAATGCTACTCTAACTCCCTTGTGCACCGACATATCTGGATTTCCATCCTCAAGTGCCTACGTGTCCTCAACTACTCAGTCTTGTGTGGGGAGCCATGGCAACAAAAAGTTAATGTGCTAATCATTGCTCAAAGTTCAGTTGTAATGATATGAATTCTTCAAAATGTATCCATATGTGTAGATTTTAAGACTTTTCATAAGGTGCAGGGTCAGTACCATACATTTCATTAGTAAGGCATTTCTAGACTTAATTTATATTAGAGTCACACTAATATTTAGTTTTAATTGGCAAATAAAGGGCACTGTATAATTTGAAGTAATTTGACATTTGGACAAATGACATACTTCATTCCTCATTTTAGAGTGAATTTTAAAAATATCCCTTTGCAAAGTTTCTCTTTCAAGAACAGTATTCTGTCACTTTAAAAAGTATTTACATTGAAAAGAAAAAAGTAAGAATCCTAACATGTATTTTGAAAACCCTTCCACTGTTTTGGAAGGGGAAGTGAGAGAAGCCAGCAGCACCTCATCCCAGACAGTTTATATCTTTCCAAACCTAAGATTTGTAATGCTTTTGAGCATGTACTAAAACATACAGCATTCATGAACAGTGCATGCATTCCAGACATACAGGACTTGCATTTGCTGTGATAAAGAAAACTCCAAAGAGTAAATGTTACAGCATAACCAGAACTCTCAGAGGAGGGTGCCTGAAGCACCTTAATCCATATTTAGGCATCTAAAACAGGCCTGAATTTCAGAGGTGCTGAACTCTCCTACCTCAGTGACTTTTCAGTGGGAGTTGCAAATGTTCATCACCTCTGAAAACAGTCTTTGAAGTGCCTTCCCCTAAACATGAACATTTGTGCATGCTCAGTAACTCGGGCCATTGCACACACAGTACTTGAAGTACAGAATAGCTTTCCCTCAGCCAATAGTCCCACTTCTGGACAGACTTACAATGATCAAAACTGCTTTTTCAAGTCACACTAAAATGGTAACGTGTTCAGTAGCTTACACCTTTGAAAAGCTTAATTTTTAGGATGGGAGGACTGGCCTGAAGAGTTGGGTAGGAGTGTTCAGAGGTAAGTTACATTTCCTTAAAGTGCACACCAGCAGAGCAAATAAAGGACCAGTCTGAGATTTTTGTCACTGTACTTAAATGTATGCAGTGAACTGGAAAGTAGGTATGAAACTAATTTGTTGAGAGAGGGAAGTTGAAGAACAATAGAAATGCCTACTCTAGAAATAGTTCTCAAACAGTTAGCTCAGGGCTGTTCAACTTCTAAGCAACCAGGGGCTGGATGCTCAATGGGCTGTACCAGTGGAGGCCGGGGGCCCCAGGGCTGCACACAGCATGTCCCCCCTGCTGCCCTGCACACCTCTGGGCACTGCCCCTACCCACCTCTCTCTACCCACCATTGCACTAGGAGCCCCACCTCACCCAAAGCCTCCCCAGCCATCAAGCCTCTCAAACACCCTAGGCCGTAGGGCTTCCCCAGCACTGCAGGCTACACTGTCCCACCCCCTGGGACAGGGAAGGGGAAGCTGGAAGGAGTGGGAGCCCAGAAACCCAGAGCAATGCAGCTAGGTGGGAACCTGGGAGCTACAATTTAACCCCTTGTGGGCTGCCAGTTGGACAGCCCTGGTAACGAAGTGTGATGAGGTGAAATTGTCAATGCTTCCATTACAGTCTGCACTCGGATCCACAGTTGTGGCTTTTTAGGTAAAGCACGTTTCTGTAACAAGGTGAATGTAAGTCTAAGATGAGGAATCTTAATGAAAGAAAGTTTTATAAGGTTGTAGAAATGTCTCCTACGTCCTCTCCTTGCTACCCCTCTGGGAAGTTCTGATTGTGCTTCATTGCAGAGGCAGCTGAAAGAAGGTCCTATAATCATCTTCAGTGATGCTTTCATTACTATGCACTTACTCAAGGTGTAGTAGTGAGTAGTAAAGGAATTCTAAGATTGTAAAAGACCTTTGGGAACATACTAGAGCCCTTTTATTTACCCCTGAAAGACTAGTCTTGCAATTTTGTTTGTTTGTTTTTTTAACTCCTGGCTTTGGTTTCCTAGTTACTTTTGTTCGCACCAGATTTGTATGTTCAGTAAAGAATGTGGATTTTCTTTGGACTATTTTTGTAAAATAGGTGGATAGCAATGCCACAGCATGCAGAAATTGCACATTTTGCTTGACTTGCTTTGTAAAATACACTATTTAATTTGAGAAATGTAATTTATGCCAAAAAGTATAACATGCCATTTTGCCACTGAATAGGTTGTTCTAGCACAAAATGCAATGTCTTAGGGGGAAAGGCAGACATTTTGTAGAAGTAGTTTAAAAAAAAAATTAAAAAGTTCCAGTACTGGCTGTCAGAATCCCTAAAACTGCATTATAAGAGATGATGTAAATTAATCTTTTTGAAGAGGGAAGGGATTGTGAAAATCTCAAGAGTTATTCTCCCTGCCTCTAGTGGTCTTTTCTTTTTTTATTTAGTAATACGCTGCTACATATTTGGAGGATCTAGTGTTTGTAGGTCACTGAACAAGACATTGAAATCTGATTTATATTGTATACCTGTAACATAGAAAGAAAAAGTATTTATATATTTTCCTTAAGAATATTTCATTGAGCTGTGTATAATTTAAACAGAGGCTTATCCCAAAATGGTTTTGCCCACCTTGATTTTTTTTTTTTTGTGTTTTTGTTTTTGTATAGTGTGTACAGTTCATGTCTATGGGCATTAAAAGCCTTCTGAAGCATAATCTTATCAAAGGGATGCATTGTTAATAAAATGTACTTAAACTTCTCACAGTTGTCTTGGACTCTTATGTACTTCTAAGTACTAAAAATCAGTTTGATGTGGTTAAGATCCTAAATAACTAGAGTTGACTTAAGTTTTTTCAAATAAACACTCTTCTGTCAAAAAGGGTACTGTATATTAATACTTTTTGTAGGAAAATGACCATTTTCCAAAAAACTTTTGGAAATCTCTATAAAGACTTCTCAACTTTTTCATATTTTGTTTACTATTTTGTTGTCAAACTAGCAAGCCTTTCAGTGTTTTTTGATGTTGAAAAATGTTTGATGCATGTGATGCATCACATAATGAAAAATGTTTTTGATCACTAGGATCTTTTAGAAAGCTTTCATAGTTAAAAGGAATAATTCCTGAAAGCCAAATGAAAATTCTAAGTTTGTTGTGAATCTGTCTTTTGACCAGCTCTAAATGTAAATGAGTTGTTTCATTAGTAGCTTCAGATGCCATCCTGTAACAAAGTACTGAGTTTGAGGTACTGAACTGGTTATTAGAGTGCACCTCTTTTTACATACATTCAAAGAGGTGTTGCTTTGTGTTTTATGTAATCGACTGTTTCCATATCTTTGCATATTTCGAAGCACAGTTGGTTTGTGATACAGCTCTTGCCAGTTGGGTGTGTTCTCTTCATTTGTCAAGGAAGTGGTAGCCAGTCCAGATGCGCAGAGTGTTTGCATCTAGTTCAGTGGTTCTCAGCCTTTTCAGTGTCATAGCACCCATCCATAATGTTTTTGGAATTTAGTGGCATCCTGTTGAGAAATCCTGACCTCAGATCTAGCTGGTCTAGGTAAAGGTGGTAGGTACATGACCACACTACTCTGTGCCCTGCTTTTTCCACAGCCTTCTGCCACCCAGCCACTAGTCTGTATCTGAAGAGGAAAGTGAAATCCTGGCCACCCTAGGTGCTTCTACGGGAACTCATGCATGGCAACCAGAACCATATGCACCTGCAGCCTCCTACTATCCCTGGAAGCATAGAAACAGTGGGGGCATGAGCCAGGCTGAAAAGTGTGGTCCCATGTCTTCCTTTCTGCACATGAGCCCACATCCAGGAGTGTTGGGAGCACTAGGGAGTGGGGAGCCACTGTGAGTACTGCTTATCTTCAGTTTACTGGGAAGCCTGGCAGTAAGCAAGGAAAGAAGTGATTGCTTTCCTCTGGCACGGGGACCAGGCACTGTGGCACCCTTGGAAATATCTCACGGCACCCTGGGGTATTGTGCCACCCCTGTTGAAAATCACTGATTTAATTCATCTTCTTGACAAACAGATAGGTTTTCCGAACTGTCTAGATCAGTGGTTTTTAGATCCAAAGTTACCCCTCTATAACTTTTCTGAATTTCCCAGTACCCTACTTGAGAACCCCTGCAATAGTGTCAACTTACCTATTTTATCAGATAAACCTAATGCAGACAAGAGCCCACCCACACATCAGACAAAACTAATATGGCAGTGTCAGCTTGGGGATAAATTCATGGTATAGCAGTTCTCAACCAGCTCTCTCTCCAGGCTGCTACTACCATGGCCAAATGAGACTGTCGTGTGGATCTGTTTCTAGGATGAACTTGCACATGCAGACTGGGAAGTGGTTACTACCCTCGTCACTGAGTTTAGTCTCAGCCAACAGAATAACCTACTGGTGTTTATTCCAAAGTTTCATTCCTCTGGTAATGAGGACCATTACCCAATGCCTTATGCCACACCTAGTTGACTACTTACCAGGCCTCTCAGGTATTCCCAACACCCCCTTCCCTCCCACAACATCTGGATACAAGCTGTTACTGTAGCCCTAGGGCTCAACACCCAAAAATTCAGACCATCCTTTTCACTCCAGCCTAGTAGTGTCACAGTGCATAGTTTCATAGCGCTTAGGGTCGGAAGGGACCGAAACAGATCATCAGGTCTGACCCCCTGCCCCAGGCAGGAACAATTGTGGGTCATAACCCCCCAGCCAAATATCTGTCCAGCCTCCTCTTGAAGACCCCCAAGGTAGGAGAGAATACCACCTCCCTTGGTCTTGAGGATGGCAGCTGCCCAGAAGGGCCTGGACTGCTCTTAACCATCTCAGAACGGGTATTGCACAGTTTAAGACAAGCATGCACTCTTGGGGCCTCTCCAATGACCCTGGCTGTAGCTGTGGTGCTCAAGCTCAGATGGCCAACCACATCATCTACGAATGCCCTTACGGCCCTCCTTCAGGTGCCCATGGTCTTATTGACATTAACCCTTCTACCTATTGCTGGCTTCCTGGCCCTCATGCTTCCAACATATGAATGTTATGACACTTGCTTCATCATCATCATTCCTCCGGAGCTGAAGCATCTTTACATGCATTGGATATGAAGAAAGACTTGTCTCCAGAGCTGATGGAAGGAGTCCTACAGTCACTGACTGTGGCTTTGGTTGAAAAAAAAATGGAGAAGTAGGAAACATGCACTATGCCCTTGGTGTTGGAGCATAGGAAAGGGGCAAGGCAGAAGCACTAAGACAAAAAACGTTTCTAGACGTGTGTGCGGAAACCCTATATGCCAGATTTGTTTGGGAACCAAAAAATTGAGTGAGCCTGGAGGTCAGCAAGTCCTGAAGCTGTGTTTTTCATCCCTCAGTGCTCTGTCACTGCGCCCTTCAAGGACATGAGGTAAGTGGCATGTTTGATTTAATTGTGCTGCCTGTGGTCTGAGTAACAAAACAGCAAGCCTTAATGAGGTGTACACTCTGGACACACTTCTTCAAGTAATGAGGCAATGAGCCTTGATGAGATGGGAACAGCTGAGCCACACTGTTCCAACACAAGTTAGCCATCACAATTATTTAGATGGTGCCTATAATCCAGAAATAAATGGTATTTAGCAAACTGCTTGTGTTGTTTGCATGATTTAAATACTTGCTGACTTCTTAAGTGACATTTGCTGTACTGTGGTTTCTTGCTAACTAATCTGATTTTTCTTTAAAGGAAAAAGATACTTTTTTTTTTTTTAAATCCCACAAGATCCAAACTCAGGAGACTGCATTGTTAGTGGTAGCTTTTTGCCTGCTTTGTGGAAACACGTGGATAATACTCTGTGTTCAGAGAGACAGCATTTAAATGCTTATGAAAACATTGAAGATTGAACTCTTTAGGCAAGCATCCAGTTTTGGACAGAAGGTATCCTTGTCTAGCCAGGTTTTTTAGATTTTTTAATGAAGTTGCTTAACAAGATTCCCAAATAATGGCCATATTGGTTGTAACAATTTGGGGGACCAATGTTCAGTTTACAAATTCCAGTTTGCAATTATGGCCTCTCTGCTGATATCTTTGTTAATTTACTCTTTAAGCCTAGAGCTTGCTTTTGACTTAGAGCAGGGGCTCTCAAACTTTGTGCTACCATGACCCCAAGTGCTGGATGGTGGCAGTAGGGGACAGGGAGCTCGCACACTGCTACCCTACGCTGCAGTGATACCCCCCGAAAAGTTTGCAGCCCCCTTTTAAATTGCTCATGACCCCCCCGGGGTTGTGACCCACAGTTTGAGAACCCCTGATTTAGAGACTGGTAACAGGTTTTCTTGGATTTATTGAGTTCTCCCCTTTTGCCTCCAGTCTATCCCTTGACTTCGTAAATGGCTTAGTTTAGCACACATTTCTTGGTTCGGTTTATTCAATAAATATCTTTGTTTCACTGAGATCAGATTGAAGCCATTTTTCTATGGCTTTGGAAGGAGTCAGAAAAAATGCATGTCTTTGTTAAAATCAGTTTTTGATAGGATTTCTGAACTCCTTCCTTCACCATACTGGGATGCCGCTTGCCACCCACCATCCTGGTTTCTTTCTGCCTTGTTCTATGCTCTTCACTGGCAAGCCTGCTTTTATCTAATTAATTTAACAAAAATAGGTCTCATAGTAAAAATCTAATACAGTTGGCCGTGTCAGTCACTACTACTAGCAATCTTAAAGTTATAATATTATGATGTTTAGATATAATCTTATAATGCTCTTTGAAAATGGCCATGGGCCGAACAGTGGTTATAAAAGGATTTCTTACTGTCCAATTTGAAAGCTAATACAAGGAAAGAAGACTGTGTCAGAGGAGAAATCATGTGGAGGATGGAAAGAATAGAAGTCCCTGAATTCCCTAGAACAGTGGTTTTCAATCTGTGGTCCTCAGACCCCTTGGGGTCCACAGAGTACATCTAAAGGGTCTGCAAAAGATGGTTTTGTTCAAAAGTATGTGAATACCCACATTTACTTTTCAAAGAAGTCTGTACTTCCATCAGAATTTTTTTAGGGGTTCAAGAATGAAAAAAAGTTTCAAACCACTGCCCTTGAAGATTATTTAAACTCAGATGGTATTTATACACATACATTTTCATGCCTGGACACACCAAAGATCCAGCATATTGGAGCAGACTCAATCAAGTCTGCTCTCCATGCAAGCATGGCATCACCTGGATTTGTATAAGCAGCAAACTGCGCATCAGCGTGGAGAAAATGGAGGTGGTGTGCTTTTGAACTGAAACACCTTTTAGTGTTTAGTTCAAAAGTGGACCATTGCCATTTTCTGGGCGCTGATGTGCATTTCCCTGCTTATACAACTCCAAGTGATGCAGCACTGGGCGCTTTTCAAAGTGCCTGGCGTTGCTGCACGAGCATGTGTAAAAATGCCCAGCGAGCACACAAGTGGCAACAGGAAAACGACAGGGAAATGCCTACAGGTATGTGTGAGGATGGTAGTTGTTTGTCTCACCTAATCAGTGTATTTCTTGTGCTTTCTGAAGTTGAGTATTTGTGCCACAGACCTTTACAAAGTCTGTATATCTGATTTAACTTTTACATATGTTTGGAGATGAACAGAAACCCAGAGTAGCTACAAATTATCTGGGAAGGTGTGTTTAAATAACTATGGTGCCTTGAAAATTACCCTTTCACACTGCTTCTGGGGGCCTGGATGACAAGATCTCATTGTGTGAAAAGGGAACTGTCTGGATAGGCCAAAGAAATAACAATTCTGGAGCCTTCC